ACTGAACTGAAACTCTATTTTTGATACAGATTGTTTTGTCAAATACTACTGTTTGCCCTGAAATATGATCAATAAAAAGAAAGACTTCAATAATGTATGACATTATAATATATTTATTGTGAACAGATGAAAAAAGAGATATTTACAAATTTAAGAAATACACTTAGAAGAAAAACAACAACATGCTATCTTTATCTTCTTAAACTAGTATTTGTGTGATGAGCCCTGTGACTGTGACGGCTGAGAGCTGACTATACAGAACTGTAGATGCAGACTTTACAAATGAAATTATATAATTAGATATAATCAATATTAAGTATATATTTACATAATAATTAGAATATTTATAAACATTTATGAACAGACAGGTATAATATAGTAACTATATACAATAGCACCAATAGACAGCAGATAGCTCATTTATTTACACGCCACCTTTTCCTCTCACGGTCATAAAAAGGAGACTGCTGGAACATCTGCGTCTCCATCCCCTGGTCCTTGTACAGGGAGAATACTTTGGCAGGGCAGTAGATGTATTTTCCTGACAGACCTGTGAATTGTGTATGAATGTGAGGACTGGTCCCTGCTTCAGCTGCAGTTTGTAGAACCCGCACTTTCTCCCAGTGGCAGGAGACTCCTCTCTCTTCCTTTTCTTCTCCTGCCGCTCATTCACTCTCTGCTGCGTGGCCTCCAGCTCTCTCTGGTAGAACTCAGTGTCCATAAAGTCTCGGAATGGCATCCTGGAGTTGGTCAAACCCTCTGTGCGATAGGTGTTATAGACCTTGGTGGAGCAATAGAAATACCTGGTAGGACCCTGCTGGTAAAACTCGTGGATGGAGCTGCCATCGCCCTCATATTTGGATTTTGGCTGGCCACAAGACAGGCATTTCTTTGTGTGGGGTTTATTTGCTGGAGGCTGCTGCTGCTTTTCCAAGATCCGCTGCACAACCTTCTCTATGGCCTCCTCAGACAGCGGTGACATGAGAGTCTGAGCAGGGTTCACTGCTGCAGGGGGCATGGTGACAACAGGCACGGTGCTGGTCTTACTGCCTGCTGTGAGCGATGTACTCCCCCAGCACTTCAGCCTTGTCTGAGGCATCACCTCCTCTCACTCGCACCAGAGTGAGGGCGTTCTCCCTCACCACCTCCTCCCTCAGAGGAGCACCACACTCCCTCATGGACGGGTCGTCCCTGATCTTCCTCGCCTCCTCCGAAGGGGCCTGCAGCAGGAATCCACGTGGGCCCTTGCGAAAAATCACAGTGACGCGGCCAGGAAAGAATGAAAATGTCTTCATATTGTCTGCAACAACAAAAAAAGATCATAAAATATCTAGCTATAGCATGATAGAGAAGTATGTATAATGTATATATCTTTAGCATAATAAAGAATAAAATAATTAAATTTAGCATAATAAAGAAGCATGAATCCTGTATAATCTAGAGAAGACATATACAGTTGTATGTGTAAGGTGAGGAAGAGGGCAGGCGCCAGTCGGGCGTGAATAGCAGCCCCTTTTCGTAAACATGCCCCTCCCGAGCTCCTGAGACTTCAAAGAAACTACGGGTTCAATGAAAGGCTAAACATTTGCCAGGACACTGCAAGAAGACCCAGAGGGGCAATAAAACAGCAGAACAAACATCGGTGTGCCCTTCTGCCTGACAGAGATCAGGAATCATTCATCCGCGATCGCTCACGGGACATTCCACAATCTGAGACTCACCCACGGCGTTCTGGCGCCCCCCAGTGGACACTGAACACTATCACACCCGGCACGGACATTGTGTAGACCAGCCCCGGACTCCGTATGATCCCAATAAGTCTGTACCGTGCCCTTCATGTGTGTATCATTGTCAAGTAATGAAATGCGGTGTGTGTTTGTACATGTGTTATGATCGTCTGTATTAATCCTGCGTGTTTCCCTTGTAACCTGTCTGTTGTGAGAGGGGTGTCCAGGGAAGACGCACAAGGATGACGTCACGGACGCGCCCCCTCTTGAAGTCAATATAAACACGCGCAATGCAGTGATTCTTCCTCTTGGTTTTCCCGAAATCACCATCGCAACTATTCCTTTTGGTACGTGTCTCCTACACGACCTACGTCCGCCACCATCTCGGGCCTGTACATCCACGGGGACAGCAGCCACTCTCGCTGTCGGAGACGAGGACCTTCCATCGCCAGCCACTTTCGGGCTCCCTGGAACACCCCACCGCAACGCTATTCTAGACCGTGTTGTGTGTGGAACCCACGCCTGGATCCGATCTGCTGGCTTCCTCCTGCTCCCTGTTCGAACAAAGACCACGTGGACGAGAACATCGCCTCCATCCTATTCTTCATCCTCATCCTTCCATCTCCATTCTCCATCCTCCTCTTTTCATCAACATCTCCCTTGAACGGCTCAAAGTAAGACTGTTCCTTTGTTGGATGTGTGTTTCAAATGAGATGTATACAACTTCTGTTTAATGTGACCAGAAATCCCCTTCGTTATATTTTCTATCTTCAATTTTTGTAGTCAATAAATTCACGTTAACCCTTTAAGCGCCAAAGTCGCAATATTGCGACAAGCAACATTGCTCACTTAAACAGGCTGTATCTAAAAATGTGTTGCAGAATCTTGTTAATACTTTTCACCAGGGGTTAGTGGACATGTGTGCCTGTAATATGAGCAGCATTTGTGGGTGTGGTTATATTGAAAGTTTTTGAGTAAATTGAGTTCGTAAAACACCTGCGGCGCAGCAGCGCGGAGGCGAAGCAGCAGCTGTAGAGCTGAGAGGAGCGAGAGCAGAGCAGAGGGAGAGAGTGTTTTTTATTTTACTCACGAGGTCTTCAGTACCAGAGAAGTACTTGGTCTGGTACTGGCTCACTCAGATTCAGAGGAGGAAGACACACAGGTGTCCAGTGAAGCAGACGCGGACATTATTGGTGACGGGGAGACCGCGCTCCATAGTCCACAATCAGCCCCTGTACAGCGGCTGCTTGTCCTCCGTGTGGCCGCGGTAGAAGCATTCTGTGAACGCCAAGCAGGGACCTTGGTCGAGGGGACAGGGGGATCGTAACACCGGGCATGTGGGAGAAAGTAGCGGGGGTACACATCCACGGGAAACACGGGAGACGCGGGAGAAGTCACGGGAGAGCCGCGGGAAAAAAACACATCGCTTTTCGCGTTCACTGCCTTTACCAAAAGCGATGATGAGGATGAAGGCAGTTCTTGAGAGAAAATAATCCACAAAAGTGGATCAGAAGTGTTGAAGAGCCTGTTGTTTCTTGTTGAGACGATCTGACATGTTCTGTGCCCATTCATTCCATCTCTCTGTTTCTAAACCATAAATCCAGGAGCCCCATTTCCACCGAGAAAAATAGTAAGCCCACCACTTCTTTGAAAGGGAAATATTGAAACCAAACTCCAGATTTCATGAATGTAAACTATAAAGAGTGCAGTCTTGATCACTGAAGGTCTTTGAAAATAATACAATTCCATATGGCCGCGAACCAGTGCTAAAACATTATCTATAATCTGGATCAGGGAATTTATTTCTATCCCAAATTCATTTCATACTAAATATATTTCACACTGACTGTTTATAGTATTCCCTGATCTAAAAAAAACTCCCAAGCTACAGCTTTTTGAAGTTTTTATACAATAATTAACATTTTCCAAAATGGCCGCCACCTTGATGACGTCACAATATGCAAATTAGATGACGAATCAACTTCCATCCCAAAGTTTGGTTCAAACTGAAGATATTTCTAATTTACAGTATGCCTTTATCTCAAACCATTTTAAAGTTATAGCCTTTTGAAATCTTAAAATCAAAATTGTATATTTTCTTGAAAAAACTCTGGCGCCTAAAGGGTTAACTTTAACTCAATCATTTAAGCGTTGTGTTTTTAAATCTCGGATATCACTGGCCGATTTACGCATTCACTACCTATTAGATTATAAGACTGACTCGAGGCAAAGTAGTTGGATCTGTGCAGAAGTAACTCTGCTGGTGCCCTAAAAATAAAAGCAGATCCCCCACTCGTGTAGAACGGCAGACTCTGATTTGGAGACTAGCCGCACTACACTACATCACACTATTCATCTCTTAATACATATTATTACCCTACATAATGGTGCCCTCTTTGTGAGATCCGCGCATATAACCAGATTTATCAACTCGCACTCTGTAATTTGACCTGTAATACGCTAACTTAAGCACTGCTCACGCTCCAAGCGCTCTCCCCCCACCTCCCCACCCCACGCCTCTCCCTGCTGCCCGTTGCCATAGTGACTTCGACGCCAATCGAGCTCCCCTACGCCCCGCTTGCGATAAAGCGCTCGTGCATGCACCAGACTATATTAATTTAGTCTTAAATCCTGGCTTTTGTACTAGGTACTACGCAACTCTACAACGCTGCTAGTCCTCCGCGCTCGCAAGCTAACGGCTAGCTACATTCCTTTGTTCTAGCATAAGGCTAACTTCCGCCCTTGGCGCGCCAGCTTCGAGGCTACGCTCGAACAAAGCCCACTGCTCCTAATACCACTCTCCCAATAATAGCTGCTTTCCTACTGTAAAAACTAGTGCCACTTTGGTTAACCAAACTGCATTCGATTGCCAAAACTCACTGTTTACTGCCTAAACTACTGCTAAACCTGCTGTTTTCGGCAAGCTACAGGCTAGCTACAACCCTTTGTTTTTAGCATACGGCTAACTTCCGGCCCCGGTGCGCTAAAAGCCTGCGCCGCCGCCGCGTCTGCTCTGCTAAACCACTCTGCCTGCTGCATTGCTCACCCGTTGTCTAACAATAAACACTACTTGCTATTCTTTCGTGCTATTCTGTCTCACTCTGATTCTGTGTTTCGACGATCAAAGGGTGCTAGCCGTCTCGGCATACTGCTAAACGAGCCGCACCTCTTTTATTGTCTAACACAGGACTGCTTTCCGGTCCCGGTGCACTACTTCCGGGACCACGTTGCTGCTGTCTTGACATCTTATTCTGCACCACGTCTTATGATCAAATGTTGGCCGTGGTTCTAACATTAACACTGTTTGGCTACGATTCCGTGCTGTTTTTGTTTGCTCCAACTAATAACCACTCTACTCTGCCAAACTCGATGTTTGGTGGTTGAACTAATACGCTAATTCTGCCCCTACTACTGCATGTCACTGCTAGATCGCACTGCTGCATGTAATTGGTGTACCACATTGCTGCGTTGGTGAAACTAATAATTTGATTCTGCCAATGTTTACTGCACGTTATGACTAACACATTACTGTGGTGACTAATCCTATTCTGTACTCCTGCTCCTGCCTACTGCACGTTATTGTCGAACCACATCGGTGTGTTGATTTAACAAATACTGCCCTCCCACCTCCTGGTCAAAACTAATACTCTATTTCTACCCCCCACTCCACGTGCTGTCACTAAAACTGCATTGCCTTGCCGCTCAGCCTGCTGCCTTCTTGCTACTGCTTACTTGAGCTGCGTCTCAAGCTACGCCGCGCCCCACGCTGCGTCTCAAAACGCCGCTGCGTCCCTAACGCCGCAGTTGCGCCTCACCGCCGCTGCGTCTCAAGCTACGCCGAGCCCCACGCTGCGTCTCAAACCGACGCTGCGTCTCAAGCTACGCCGCGCCCCACGCTGCGTCTCAAACCGACGCTGCGTCTCAAGCTACGCCGCGCCCCACGCTGCGTCTCAAACCGACGCTGCGTCTCAAGCTACGCCGCGCCCCACGCTGCGTCTCAAACCGACGCTGCGTCTCAAGCTACGCCGCGCCCCACGCTGCGTCTCAAGACGCCGCTGCGTCCCTAACGCCGCAGTCGCGCTTCAACGCCGCTGCGTCTCAAGCTACGCCGCGCCCCACGCTGCGTCTCAAGACGCCGCTGCGTCCCTAACGCCGCAGTCGCGCCTCAACGCCGCTGCGTCTCAAGCTACGCCGCGCCCCACGCTGCGTCTCAAACCGACGCTGCGTCTCAAACTACGCCGCGCCCCACGCTGCGTCTCAAGACGCCGCTGCGTCCCTAACGCCGCAGTTGCGCCTCACCGCCGCTGCGTCTCAAGCTACGCAGCGCCCCACGCTGCGTCTCAAACCGACGCTGCGTCTCAAGCTAAGCGCGCCCCACGCTGCGTCTCAAGACGCCGCTGCGTCCCTAACGCCGCAGTTGCGCCTCACCGCCGCTGCGTCTCAAGCTACGCCGCGCCCCACGCTGCGTCTCAAACCGACGCTGCGTCTCAAGCTACGCCGCGCCCCACGCTGCGTCTCAAGACGCCGCTGCGTCCCTAACGCCGCAGTTGCGCCTCACCGCCGCTGCGTCTCCAGCTACGCCGCGCCCCACGCTGCGTCTCAAACCGACGCTGCGTCTCAAACTACGCCGCGCCCCACGCTGCGTCTCAAAACGCCGCTGCGTCCCTAACGCCGCAGTTGCGCCTCACCGCCGCTGCGTCTCAAGCTACGCCGCGCCCCACGCTGCGTCTCAAACCGACGCTGCGTCTCAAGCTACGCCGCGCCCCACGCTGCGTCTCAAACCGACGCTGCGTCTCAAGCTACGCCGCGCCCCACGCTGCGTCTCAAACCGACGCTGCGTCTCAAGCTACGCCGCGCCCCACGCTGCGTCTCAAGACGCCGCTGCGTCCCTAACGCCGCAGTCGCGCCTCAACGCCGCTGCGTCTCAAGCTACGCCGCGCCCCACGCTGCGTCTCAAGACGCCGCTGCGTCCCTAACGCCGCAGTCGCGCCTCAACGCCGCTGCGTCTCAAGCTACGCAGCGCCCCACGCTGCGTCTCAAACCGACGCTGCGTCTCAAGCTACGCGCGCCCCACGCTGCGTCTCAAGACGCCGCTGCGTCCCTAACGCCGCAGTTGCGCCTCACCGCCGCTGCGTCTCAAGCTACGCAGCGCCCCACGCTGCGTCTCAAACCGACGCTGCGTCTCAAGCTACGTGCGCCCCACGCTGCGTCTCAAGACGCCGCTGCGTCCCTAACGCCGCAGTCGCGCCTCAACGCCGCTGCGTCTCAAGCTATGCCGCGCCCCACGCTGCGTCTCAAACCGACGCTGCGTCTCAAACTACGCCGCGCCCCACGCTGCGTCTCAAGACGCCGCTGCGTCCCTAACGCCGCAGTCGCGCCTCAACGCCGCTGCGTCTCAAGCTACGCCGCGCCCCACGCTGCGTCTCAAACCGACGCTGCGCCTCAAGCTACGCCGCGCCCCACGCTGCGTCTAACGCCGCAGGTGCGTCCCTAACGCCGCAGTTGCGTCTCTAACGCAGGTGCGTCTCAAACGCCGCAGTTGCGTCTCTAACGCCGCTGCGTCTCTAACGCCGCGCCCTTGCACCGCGTCCTTACGCCGCGCCCTACCGCTGCGTATTAACGCCGCGCCCTAATACTGCTGCTACCGCTGGTGCCACTACTACCCCTGCGTGCGCCAACGCCACTAACCCCAAGGCTCTTTGCTGACACACAGGTGAAGAAGCACTAACGCCCGACCCCAGTCCTAAGCTACCTACTCCCATACACGCCTACGACCTACGACATGCTTGAGCACGGCTCACCCTCTGACTTACTAGATGCCACCTCCACATTGGCATCCGAGGCTATTACGAAGAAACTAGAAGGTAAGACCCTGACCCAGTGGCTGGGACAGCTAGCCGCGGTCTCCAGAATAACCTTACGCGACTCCGAAGCCCAGAACCAAAGGCTCCAAGACACGGTAGGTGAACTGGAACGGCAACTAGCGGAAGCTAAGAGGTCCGCCGCGAGCCGCTTGGAACCAATCCAACAGGTAAGTAGGAACCACCAACTGGGACTGAACACGATTCCAAGCGCGACCATGGATCTAGATCGCGCAGCGAGAATCAGGGCCGCTATTTCGAACAAAACCGGCCAAGACAGTGCCTCCGGCCCACACTCCCCTCACTCCGACCGTGGCGGACCATCGTCCGAGAGTGAACGCAGGAGCGTGGCCGAACTGGTAAGTATCATCACGGGAAAGGACCAGAATCAAGGTCAAAGGCACGATACACAACCCAACAGTAACAATCGGAACAGGCCCCAGCGGTCCGTCGACGACGGACCCGACCACGTTGCGCGCGACCCCCACCAAACAACGGGACCGCCCACAACTACAGCCAACCCTCAACACAATATTAGACACATCGACCACTTTGACCCCAGACTCGACCCACCGACGAGCCAAGCGACGTACCACGTGACAGACCGCTCACGGGCCCCCGGGGACCTCTCCGTCTATGAGAGACAACCCCCGGCCGGACCCGCTGCAACGCATCGGCACGTTAAACACGAAACGCATGGCCACCAGACCCATACACACGGACTGACCATGGACCGCGGCGAACAACGGCCAACAGCCCGCCATTGGGACGGTGGAGACCACCTCAACCAGGGACGGGACTCCCACGTCGCCCCTCCGGGAACACACATGGATATGCGACGCAGCCAACATGACTACCCGACCCATGACTCTGACCCACCTGACGTCCATACGAGACATGTTTCAGACTGCCGCCATTGGGACGAAAGGGCCCGCCCTGAACATGGCGGACAACCCTACAACGACCCCCCTGGCCCACATCAGTACATGCTACATGGACCACACGACATACGGTACCCTGAGCCTGGGCCGCCCGCATATGCTGCGGCACAATGGCCAGTGACCCGCCATGGGAACGCCGGGGACCTCCCCAATCATGGAGGACAACCCCACGGCACCCCCCCGGACGCACGCCAGGACTTGACCCCAGGTCAACGGTACTACCCGGACTATAGAGGACGCGACGCCCGTTACGCGCCCCCGATAGGTCGAGACCCGCTCGGACCATCCGACCGCGACTTTGACCGCATAGCTAGACACATAACCCGCTTTGACCCCCGGCCCGGCATACCTACAAACACCCGGTCATACCTCCGCGTCGTCGAATTCCACGCCGACCGCATACCACACGCATCTCAAGATGGCAAAATATTCTTGATTAGACTCACGTCCAATGGAGAGGTGAATGACTTCATCGAAAGGCAACCAAAGGCTATAAAACACGACTACAACGAGCTCTGCAAAGCCATCCTAGCAGAATACTCAGACTACGGCGCCTCCGGGACCCTCACGGCAGCCATGGCAGTCAAACAAGCTCACAACGAGCTTGCGGAATGCTACTACCACAGGTTGCGACAGGCCTTCTTCGGCAACCGAAACTACGAAGGGATGGAGGAAGACACGAATTTCAGGGCCCTGTACCTCCAAAACCTCCACCCCAACCTTAGCCAGCTACTGGGCGTGTACGCCTGCCCCCTTACACAGGACATACGGCAACTGAAGACCCTGGTAGCACGAACACAAGGCAAACACCTGCTCAAGACACAGGCGAAGCCGCAAACCCAACCTACAGTGTACAGTGTGGAAAACCACATGGAACTTGAGGGCGCACCAACGGCCCGGAAACACAAATGGGGAACCGACCACGGACCCCAAAGGAATAACCAGAAACACGCGGACCCGAAGAACGGACAGCCACGCGACCAGCACCTCCCGCAATATGGCGAGAGACGCGCCGGCCAGGCCGACGGGAAAGACTGCGCGCCACAACGGTCCCACCAAGACCGCACTGCTACAACCATTAATAAGAGCAACCTTTCAAGGGGGGAACAATCCCTCCTCCGCACGCTCCTGCGCAAAGCCAGAGAGAAGAAGACAGACAACGCCGACGTGTTCGCAGTGTCCGTGTCGGATGACACCGAGAACGCTCCCTACCACATGGACTGGGCTGTTAGGTTACCACTGTAAAGTTCGCTCCGTACAAGTAGTCGTGAAACTTGTCGGTCACGCTCCACTTTAGTGCCAAGAACTCAAGCTTATGGGCTGGGTATCGGGACTCCACTGATTAGACAACCCTCGCTGGCATAAGCAATAGACACGCAATTTGACCCTCCTGTTCTTGGTACAGCGCTGCGCCGAGCCCTGTTGTGGCTGGCGTCTGTATGCAAAATGTATGGCTGCTTTGGATTTGGCAAATCCAAGAACAGGGGAAGTTGTCAATATGTCAATCAGCAACTCGAATGCCTTTTCACACTCAAGTGTCCATACGAGCACCCGAATGAATTGCTTCGTGTCGAGATATTGAGGTTGGGCCTTCTTCACCCTGGTCGACCGCCGTACTGGTGGGTAGCCTTTGGTAAGATCGTTAAGTGGCTTGGTGAGTGTGGAATAGTCTTTTATGAACCGACGATAGTATCCGAGAACCCCAGGAAGGACCTCAGCTCTTTAAGATTTGTCGAACTGGCCAGGTTTTAAGGGCTTCAATCTTCGCTGGATGCGGTCCTCCACCCCTCGACTCAGAAACCACGGTGACCAAGGTACTTGACAGACTTCTGGCTGAAACGCATTTCTCTGGTGAAAGCTTCAGGCCATAGCTCTTCAGTCGACAAGGACTCGCAACAACCTCCGCTCATGCTCTTCCAAAGTGTCAGAAAAGATGATTATGTCATCCAGAAAGACAAGAGCTTCCTTCAGATGCAAATCGCCCATACATTTTTCCCATCAACCGCTGAAAAGTTTCCTGGTGCATTTGTAACACCTGCGGCATTCTATTGAATTCCCAAAAGCCTAAGGGAGTGACAAACGCGGTTTTGGATTTGTCCTCTTCTTGCATGGCAATCTGATAATATCCGGATTTCAGATCCAGAACGCTGAACCACTTTGATCCCCGTCAAAGCTGAGAAAGATTCCTCCAGATTGGGAATTGCCATATGCATCTTTCACAGTCTGTAGAATAATTTTCGATAATCTATGCACAGACGAACATTCCCATTCTTCTTCCGGACAACGACAATCGCGAAGCAAAAGGTGACTGGATTTCCGGTTACCCCGGATTCAAGAAGATCACGGAGATGCTTACGACGGCTTCGATGTCCTGCGGATGGATTGGTCGAAGGACGATGTTTGAAAGGATCTCATCACTCAACTTGATCTGGTGTCGGACCTTGTCGGTACAACCAAAGTCTAATTCATGCTGTGAGAACACCTCTGGCATATCACTCAGTTTGGAAGTGATGCGCTCTCTCCACTCAGAAGATAATGGTGAATCTCCAAAATTAAACTTGATTTCTGGATCAGAAGGGGTGACTGAATGAGAGTTTACCTGCTGGGTTAAAATGTGGGCAGGCTCTCCAATATCTGCAATCACAGTTGAGGACGGAATCAGTACATCGTGCTCAGACTCATTTTTTACAACAACAGGGACCTTGTAGGGAGCATAGCATGGCAGTGAGATTAGACAACTTTGAATGCATAGTCCACCGGGTAAGGATGAACTAGGATGGTCAACAATTGCATACTGTGCAGTTAACTGGGTTTTGAGATCAGCAAAACCGTCAATAGCAGCGGTATGGCCAGCGGGAACAGTAATTGGAGCTTTGCTAGTCAATCTCACCACTCCCACACAGCCATCTTGACTCTGTTGGTGCTTCAGAGCCAAGAGTTTTAACACTGCTTTGTAACCTTGCAGTGATGGCTGAAAAGTGGAAGAGTCAGCTTGAATATATTGGTTGTACAATGGTTCAAGTGTATTCATCCCAATTAACAGGGATGAAAAACTGACATCTGGCACTACTAGGGCAAGGTGGGAACAGTAACCTCGGATCCCAAAAACTCCTTTGGGAATGTTACAGCAACTTCCACATAGCCCAAGAGGGGAACGGCTTGGCCCGCTGCACCCTCAACTTGTAATAAGTCATTGAGGGGTTTTACAGGTTGTTCAGCCAGATGTTGATTATAAAACGAGATTGGCAGAGTGGTTACTTGCGATCCCGTATCGAGTAGACAAGAAAACTCATGGCCAGCAATAGAGACTACAGCTGTACATTTCGACCCCACCAACCCTCGTGGAAGGTAAGATTTTGACTGCATGGAGGTGGTGGACTGCATGATTTTGACCCGGCAGAATGACTTTGTGGGACATTGTTGGTCCGCCTCAGCCCCTGTTTGCCCCGCAACAGGAACTGAACTTAGTTTAAATCTCTGCCACGGTGAAAGTTTGATTTACCTTGCGTTACTTTACTGTACTCTTTTCTCTTCAATGCGACTAGAGCGGAGTTGGGCTCATTATTGCACTGAGGTCTGATGTGGCCATCCTCCCCGCAACGAAAACAATAGCCGGCTCTTGGTTTGATTGGCTTGAGTCGACCGGAGGACTGAGCGTGAGCGGATGGAATATTGCGTTGGCCAGCAGTGAGAAGTGAGAGCTGCTTTTGTATATCAGCCACTTGTTGCTCTAGCTGCTGCGTCAGAGTGGTTAATGCGGCCACAGCTCCTTTTTCTTCATTGTCAGTAGAGACAAAATGGGCATGGGAAGACACCCTCTGCTTTGCTGTACCCAGATGTTGTTTCATGCGCATGCTCTTCGCAGCTTCTCGATCCTCTTCAGTCCTCAGCAGTAACAACAACTCAGTAAACGATGGAGGGTTTGCCTTCTTCTGTTTCAATTGCAGTTCAGATATCAAAGTATCATTCCAGCAACCTCTGCAAAATTGTGTGAGCAGGTGCCTATTGACATCATTCCCCGAGACTCCTCCTCTTTTAACAGCTTGACTCAAAGCGACTTGAAGACGTTGGAGATATGCTGATGGCGGCTCTCCTGTGTTTTGGAACGTGTCCATGAATTTAGAATATAGTTCCTCTCCATCTTGAACTGTTCCATATGCAGATTCTAAAGTGTGGAGATAAACTGCGGGCAATGTATCTGAACTCAAATGTCTAACCATTTCAATAGCAGGAGGCAATAGACTGTCAACTATTTTTCTTGACCGGTGTAAATCGGAAACTGAGGGTCATTCAATAATAACTCTACACCGGTACGCCATGTCTCATAGTCTGCTTCATTAGCTGGTCTTGGACTTCGGGCAGAGAAAGGTCTGAGTCGCTGTGCGGATGAGTGCATTGGTCCCTCTTCATTTTTAACAATATGTTCCACTACATATCGCTGTATTCCCGGTGGATTCATGTCTTGGGTGTTAAATTGGGGCTTACATTCACTCCAGCTTGTGATGTTACTTGTGGAAGCGGTGTGGACCGGGATGGTGACTGCGCTGATGTCAAAGCAGTTACTGTACTGGCAGTTGTGGAAGGGGATTGCTTCATCTGAGCAGCAGGACGGAGCTCTGAAATCGATTGTCCTATCTGCGTCATGACTGATTGTAAAACTTCAGCATAATCCACTCCCTGATCACTAGCCAACTTCTCTATCTCAGCAAGATAGAGATCCTCCCTCAGACGCCACCAACAAGAAATGGCCTCTGAACTCGAGGATGTCAAAACCAGACTTGACCAACAACAGAACGACGTGGTGACCTTGGGAAAGTCCCTGAAAGGAACCATGCTAGTACTGAACACGCACGAGGTTGCGATTAAACACACCTCCGCTGCGGTCAACCAACTCTTAGACGTTCTCCAACTAGACTACGCCCATACTCAGCTGACCACCCAACTGATGGAGGACATGCTACGTCACCTCAGTTCCTCGATCGAAAACCTAGCCATGGGCCGTATCCCGCCATACCTCGTGCCGCTATCGTTAGTTGAGGACATTCTAGCCGTAGCCACACGGGACGCCGTAACCCCCATGTAAGCCCACTTAGCGTACACGCTGGGCGCTGCAGTCCCCATCTATGTTAATCCTCTGGACCGCGAGGTAGCCTTCCTAGTCACCCTACCGATAGTTCCCGGCGATAAAATCTACCGACTAAAAGGGATCACTAACCTAGGGACCTGGAGGGACAATGCCCACGTCAGAGTCCAGACACCAGACATAGTAGCCTACCACGACAGTAACCCCAATTTGTACCTAACGCCAAATCTAAGGATGTGCACCCTCACCAAGGACATCCATTACCTCTGCCCCAGCAAACCTTTCGTCAGGGACAGCACAGATGGCATCTGCGGCCTGAGGCCCATGACTCCAGGGAGTCGATGCCCCGCGACGGTCACCTCTCGGAAACAAATAACCGAAACTAGAGCAGAGATTGTAGGGGCACGATGGCTAGTGAACACTCCCCTTAGAACGGCGACCCTGACCTATGACAAACATGACACCTCGTCCCGAGTAAGCCTCCCGGACGAAACCTTCTGGGTCGACGTCCTAGCTGACGCTATCCTGCACGTACAGTAGGTCCCATTCCGTTTTGTCGTCTTCATTCACGCTTCTCGGGAATCACGCAGCTGCGTGAAAAATAGCACATCTTATCGCCACAAGGTGGCAGGCTAAGTCCGCTTTAGCTCTGCCAGCGACTTAGACGCTCAGGTATAAGACTGCGTGCAAACCTGTCTAACCCAGAGGTGCTATGTTGGCCAAATGGATAACATTAGAGACTGGGACCTGGAGAACCCAGGTTCGATTCTTGTCTGAGGCACATCTTTTGGTTGCTTGTGGCAAAATTGTTTTTTCATTAAACAATTATTATATAACATCTTGTCTTTAATGTCTGAAAAAATCGAGGTGAAAGGTTGAGGTTTCTATCGAGGTTTCTATTGAATGCTATTTCTTTCTTTATAATCTTTATCTTTATAATACGAATTGCATTAACGTATATATTTAAAATAATTATGTATTGTCTATAGAATTCTATGCGAATTCGAAAATAAAGACATTCTGAAAGCGATCTGCCTCTCGTGATTTTTTAGTGAGGTCTTCTTCTGGTATTTACTGTTTGGCTGAGCAAAGTTTTAATAGTATTGGTTGAAATAAATGCCATTTTCAAACACGGCGTGATGTAAATAAGAGAGAGAGCGAG